ATATTCAGTTCTTTGTTTTACAAATACATTAAAAAAAAACGTGCATTTGGTGAATCTTTTCCTCCTCTATTCTCATGAATTCAGTCCCAGAAGAGATGTGATTACTGACCTTCTGATACGAAAACTTGAAAAACTGGTTAGTGTCAGGACACAGGAAAATTACTAGACTAGCCCCCAGAATCTTCATTCTTTATGGAAATACAAAGAGTGAATTAAAGACATGAAATAAGAGCAGAAACAAGAGCAAAAATAAGCAGAAATAAGAGCAAACCCCAGATAGTCCTGATAGTACAGTTCTGCAAGTGACAGCAAACATATCTCCTCTCAAAGTAGGTTTTATTACTCAAAAGGGCTTCCCAGTGCATCTCTCAGAATACCAACTTATTTTCTCCTATTTTATAATCTAAGGCAATGTTGGTATAAAATGGCATCTAGAAGGAAGCCAGTGAAGTAATAAATGTATAAAGCATATTTATATTTCCAAATAAAAAATAAATTTCATATTCCATATTATCACTGTATATCAATTAGACTAATTGTTTAGTTGAGTTGTGACTTTAGAAAAGAATGCTTAGCAGGTGACGTTGGTGTAGGTTTACAGCCGAACTTGAGTAAAAACTCAGCAGAATCAGTGTCTTTTCCTTAAGTGTTAGCACTTAAAATCAGATGTCATCTACAGGGCAAGTGAAATGGATCAAAGGTTTTTGAGTTGGTAGCAAGTGTCTCTAAAACATATAATAATAAAGGCAACAATTTTGTCAACTGAGATGGATAGAAAAGGTGAGGATTAACTGCTCTGGAAGTGAAAGGAATGGTTTCAAAAGACATGCTTTAACTTTTCAAAGAGCCATCATATCTCCATTTTTATTTTATTTCATTCTATTTTTAATTTTATGAGAGAGAGAGAGTAAAAGCATGCAAGAAGGGGAGAGGGGCAGAGGGAGAGAGAACCCCAACCAGGCTCCACACCCAGTGCGGAGCCTGATGTGAGGTTGGATCCCACGGCCCTGGGATCATGACCGGAGCCAAAATCAAAAGTTGGATATTCAACCGACCAGGCCACCCAGGCACCCCAGTATCTGCATTTTTTAAAAGCAGTTTCATAAAGAAGGGAAGATACAGTCTATGGTTGAAGTAAAGAAAGCAAAGAGGTTAGCATTTCTTCTTTACCTATACTTGTCTGCTTTAAGTTGCCTAGATAAGTTGAAGTTTACAGTTTAAAGCTCTGCTGCACATAAGTGCCCCAATCCACCCCCAGCTCATCCTACTCTAATGCATGTCTACCCATAACAAAATAGGAGAAGCAAAAGGAACACAGGCACTTTTGGCTATTTTAATACTTCTGAGGTGATAACACTATCAGGAATTCCTTTCCAAAAGCTATGTTGATTTAATGACTTTATATCTTTTCTTCAGCAGCTATTCCTCTTCCCTTGTGTCCTTTAAAGCACATGGTGGGTTTTTTTTTAATGTTTTTTATTTTATTTCTAGGAGAGAGAGAGGGACGGCGTGAGCAGGGGAGGGTCAGAGAGAGAGGGAGTCACAGACTGAAACAGGCTCCAGGCTCCGAGCTGGCAGTCAGCACAGAGCCCGACGCGGGGCTCGAACCCACGAACCGCGAGATCATGACCTAAGCGAAAGTCGGATGCTTAACCGACTAAGCCACCCAGGCGCCCCTTATAGCACATGGTTCTTAAACCTGGCCGCACATCAGAATCACCTAGGGAGCTTTAAGAATGTCAACTCGAAGCCAGTTGAATCTGCATCTCTGGATGAAGAGATCCAGCATGGGCAAGAACACCCACTTACCTATGCTTTTAAAACATCCCAGGTGACTTTAATATGTTCCAGGCTTGAGATCCAATTAGAGCCATGGCTCTTTGGTTCTTAAAGTGTAACCCTTAGACAGACGGCAGTCAACATCCTAGGAAACTTGTTAGAAATACAAATTCAGGAGGCCTTCCCCTCTTACTGAATCAGAAACTCAGGATAGCGGGGTCTAAAAATCTGTGTTTTAATAAGGTTCTAGGTGGTTTCAATGCAAGCTAAAATTTGAGAACCACGGACTCAAAATGGGTGTTTATGAAAATTTATGTGTATGTGAACTATCTTGTTGCTAATTGACTCAGTAAGGTTGGAATGCTGCTTGAGATTGTGAGAAGGTGCTAGGATACAGCTTTCTTTCTATGGAATGATCCAGGTACATTATATAGGAAAACAGTTATACCTCAGTTAGTCACAAGTTTATACACAGATTAGACTTTTCATGTAAGTTTACATTTTCTTTTAATTAACATAATCTGGTGAATCTGCACATTAGCTATAATGGTCCTGAAGAAAATCATTTTGGGTTTTGGTCTAACATTTTCTAAACTGTTTTCAAAGTTCTTAATGAAATCATTGGTTTCCTAGGATTCTGCATATAAGAATATTCCTAGAATTAAGTTTTTCTACTCCTGCAAAATAGTCCAAATGTACCTCTATTCCCTTTGTCTTATCTGCCAAAATCTTTCCTTTTATTTCCAAACCCAATTTCTATAGCAGCCTCTGACCAGCACCCCCATGCTGAGTTCTATAGTTAAAATTCTTATCGCTAGATTTTAATTGCTTATATATATATTTACTAGTATAAATCTAATTATATCCAAGAGTGAGTCATACAACATTCAGATAACTATGGTCTGTATGATCTGTCAGGGGTGGTTGGGTGGTTCAGGCAGTTAAGTGTCTGAATCTTGATTTTGGTTTAAGTCATATCTCAGGGCTGGTTGTGAGATCTAGCCCAGAACTGGCTAGGTGCTGGGTGTGGAACCTGCTTAAGACTCTCTCTGTCTCTCTCAAGCTTCAAAAAGGAAAAAAAAACAAAAAAACCAACAACAACAGTTTGTCAGAATGCTGGTTTTGTTGCAGGATTTTTTTTTTTTTTTTTTTACACAATACCCAGGATTCGTTGTCTCACTGCTTCAAAGAATTAAGAGGTGGACACAAAATGAGCAGCAGGCAAAAGTTTATTAGACTGTAAGATTAGAAAGGAAGAAAAGAAGAAAAGACATTGGAAGGTGAATGTCCGAGGACTATAGGTAAGGGTCCTTGTTTTTTGAGGTTCTGGTCAGCCCTCTCCCTTCTCTTCCCCTTTGTTTCTTCTCAGGTTCTAACCTTATTGGCTCAAAAGTTCTAGGTGCTGAGCTGTCCATTCCTGGTTGGCTCATTTCCATTGTATAAGGGGTGGTCTAAGGCCATACTCAGGTCTTCCGTCAAATTCCAGAAGGGAAACCTGAGGTGGAGTAAGTGGGGTCTGTTAAATTCTTAAGAGGAACCTCATGCCTGAGGGTCAGACACCCCCAGCATTGTTCCAAAATAGGTGTTTTTCCCCACCCAGGGACCTCGGGCCGTAATCTTTCCCTCTCAGCCTATGGAATCCTATCTTCTCCTATCATAGTTCCCTGAGATCACACAATTTGGGAGTAAATCTGACTCTTGTTGCAGTTACTAAATACAATTCTGATAGAGCCTCCATTGCTTATTTCTGCCTTCCCTTGTTTGGTTTATAATAGAACTAAGAAGGAACACACACTCAATTCAAGTTTGGACACATTAATCAAATGTGACACCTGTTTTTTGTATTTAGAATAAATCCTCTTGAATGTATGGAATAATTTTAAGAGACTTTTATTGTGAAGTATAAAATATTCAGAAATGATTTAAAAACTTTTCCGTTACAGTATTAATTCAACAATCTTTCCAAGAGAAAGCACCACATTAAAAAAATGACATTCATAACAATCTAAAATGCATATGATAAAATAATTAATAGTAATTACAACAGCAAAACATGAAATTCAGAAACATTTCTTACCACAGATCTAAATCAGGGGTCTCAACTCAAATGTGTTCAGGGCTAACTAAGTAGGAAACACAAAGTAGTGAAGTGGCCTGATATAAGGAATCTAGTAGACCGTGGAAAACTAGGGAATGCATGCCCAGTTGAAAGACTTCAAATTAAAACAATTTTGAAATATTATGCACACTGAATAAAATAGCTGTAGGCCAAGCTGGCTGAATACCAGTACTGAATGCCAGTTTGCAACTCTGGCCTAAATGAATTTCTAGCAGTTTATATACCTAATTCTCAAAATGGCACACTGCACTTTTAAAATAAATATGTTGTCACTATGTATGTATGTGTATATATATATAGAGCATGTGTGCTTTATATATATATATATATATACATATATACATATACATATGTATGTATAAATACAAATATATATATAAAGCTTGAGTCACTATTTTGGGATGAGTGGATAAAAAAAACTTTTGAGAAAAGGTATTTTGCACCTTGAATTAATGAATTTAGGAAGTTGCATGATATATTCTTAAAAACATCTGCTTAAGAGATGACATTTTTAAAATACCTACTCTCACATTTATTTGGGAAAAACTAGTTATGCCAGGAGTTAATTAAAATGAAATGAAATTTCATTCTTTTACCAATAGAAAGTTATATGCCACAGCATATTACTGCTTAGTAAGAAATATTTAGGTGAAAAATAAATATTGGTTTTACTAAAGCCATAGTTCAGAAAGCATTCAATCATACTGCCTCACTATATATGATGAATACACTTGTAATTCAGTTAACAATTAGTTTTACCTTATCTTTAAAGGGTATTTTAAGAATTTTAGTAGATCTTATATTTTTAGTTAAAAGTAATGGTTCTAGTCTGAAGATATAAAATTGCTATATAGGCCAAATGGCTGTAACCTAGTTGGTTTGGTTTGCTATGCCAAAGCAGTTTTACAGAATTTACAATTTTGTATGCCAGTAATGACTTCATATTAGTGATTTTTAAACAGCTTTTAAAAGTTAAGGTGATGGAGACATTAGAGTGACAAAATCTTTTAAGAGGCTCTGAAGGCACATTATAATTCAAATATCCTTGCTAGACTAGGAATACATATTTTAAAATAATCCATAAACACAGATTTCAAACAAATAAAACTCAAATACATTTATTCCAAATCTTGATACAATACTCAAAAATATTTTCTACTTTTCTCAAACATTTTAGATCTTAGCTTGAGAAGATTAACATAAAATAAAAGCACAGCACCAAATCTAGCCATATAATCTTCCACTTAAAAAAGTTAGTATTATTATCACTTTTCTGTAAAACAAAGTCATGTGGAACAAACCAATTTCATATGTGGCGTTTAATTTCTGAAATTATAAAGCCAAGGCTGTTAAGTATATCTAATTAAAGTTAGATGTTTAGCAAACCCAGGGTAGGTATATAAGAAAATGTTAAGACACAGTATCAAGTAATGCAATAAGTCTTTCGTTATTTCCATTTTTCGTGAATTCACATTTTTTATGGCATTGTTTTCTAACCTAGTATTTGGCAAAGTTTGAAAGTACAGCCAAGTCATATGCATCTTATTTGCATTCCCACATTTGTTTTAATTATTAAAACCACGTACGTATGAGGCCATTAGAATTTTTTTAGAATTCAAAGTTAACACTGATTTTACACATGATTAAGTATTTCCATGGCAGAAATTAAATTGCAATTAAGATTATAAATTCACTATGAATCCTAAAAAGAAACATGTTTTCAAATCAAGTTAATAGTAGAACTATCACATAAAGGTATACAGTACAGGCTGATGTATTACAAACTTAGTTTGATTTAGCAGTTCTTTAAAAACCAACAGGACTTCAATGAATAAATTTATTTTAATTAATAAGTTATTCACAATTAAAAATTTAAAGTTTTCATAAATAGTAACAGCAGACTAGATATTGAGTATATGGGATTCCCACAAAACAATAACAAAATATTTCAACATTATTTCATCCAAATATTGGTTTAAAATTATTCAAACGTATTTAAAGATTGCTGATGACCGACTGATTTATATCAATGAATTCCAGACTAAATTAATACCAATTAGATATATAGTGCTGTCTGCTTGTTCTTCACATCATGAAAGGATGAAACTCTTTTTCTAAAAAACATGATGGCCATACTGGTTATATACTGATATCCAATTAGTTAGCGTATTTATGGAGGAAGCGTTCAAATGCATCATAGATGGCACGTCTAAAATTAAATATGAAAGGAAAACTGTAAGTGATGAACATAAAAGGAGGACAGATAGTACTTTTATTGTTGGTAATGTCCAAAATTACCTGGGGCTGGCAACCTGACTTCCTCTCCAAATAGGTCTGAAAGAAGCAGGTACCTGAGGGTAGGTGTTTGGAACCATGTAATGTCACAACTACTAGAAAACCTCAAATGTGCTCTCAACTGATGATGAATTCAGAAGTACTATCCTTTCTGTAAAGCACTTTTTTGTTCCTTAGAACTTATATATATATACGTGTTTATATATTATGCATGTGAAAAATATAATGTATATATATGTAAGTCACTTGTTGAAAATTAATTGGCTACACAATTTTCATAATGTAGTATTAAATCTATTTCATAAATTAAGATAAGGATTTTTTTGGTCCAGAAAAACACATGTGCCCAGCAACTGAACTTAAAAAAAAAAAAAAAAGCCTTAGTTTCCTATAGTCCCTTCCCAAAGTATTTTAATTGGACATTTAAAATGACACCTAAAAGTTGCACTAAATAAGTGACAACATACAAAATTACTTCTTGGATTAAAAAGAGCTAAAAGATGTCAAACATATAGTACACACAGTTCTTCTATTATATAGCTATGCAGCTAGCAGGGTTTTTTTAATGTTTTTATTTATTTTTGAGAGAGAGAGACAGAGAGAGAAAAAAAGAGAGAGAGAGTGAGCAGGGGCGGGGCAGAGAGAGAGGGACACACAGAATCCAAAGCAGGCTTCAGGCTCTGAGCCTGACTGACATGGGCTCGAACTCACGAACTGCAAGATCATGACTAAGCCGAAGTCGGGTGCTTAACAACTGAGCCAACCAGGTGCCCCTGCAGCTGGCAGTTTTGAAACATATCATGCACAGGGTACTATTCTAAGCATTTTATGTGAACTAATTCACTTAACCATTAATGGTAAATATATCCCAATGATACCTTTTGCCATCAAATTTGAATAGAAGTAGAAATAATAAAGGCTGTAAAAAACTAGAGATATAGAACCAAATGTTTCTTAAATTCTAATAAATCCTGGAGTCATATAAGGTTATTAGCATTAAAACCAATATTTCACTTCTCATATAAGATTCAATATTCACTTGCTGTGGAAAAACATTGCTGGATTATTCCACAGATGCTTATGCCATTGTGAGAGAAGAAAAGAGTGGAATGAAAAACTCACGATGAACCAAAAGCAAGTTTTACAATCTGTGTTCCTCCCTATACCCTAAAATACTTGGCTATTAATATTTGATGAGGGTAAAAACACAATAAATACGCCTATCATATTTCTTCTCTAGTTCTTTAGAAGAAACAAGAAAAGATGAGGATGAGATAGGTAAGAATACCACAATGTGAGAATCGAGTGAGGCAGGGAAGAAAAAAGACTAAAACATATGATAAAAATACCCAATCTTCTATGTTTCTTGAGGCAAAAAAGTTCCGAAGGACAAATAAATAGATATTAGACCAATCATCTTACCTGAAGAGTCCTTGTTTAAAAAGATAAGCACTAATATGACCCCCTTCTAGATACCGGATTTCACAACCAGGCCAAATTTCTTGTAAACTTCGAACTCCTGTTCGTGGAATGTAGGCATCTTCTTTGGCTTGAACCACTATAATGAGGCTTGGGTCAACTGGAACTAGGTATGGAATTTTAAAAGATGCAATATATATACTTTTAAAAAGTTCTAAGATTTTTATATAAACACTATCATATTAGAAAATAAAATGCACCTAAAAAAAATTGGTCAAACTTTTTGATTATGTTAAAAATCAACTATATTACATAATATCATAATATTTATTTCTAATACAATGAGATGGACATTCTAAAGAAGGTAAGAAATCCAATATATTTTTAATTAACTATTAAAATGGATTTTTTTTTAAGTTTACTCATTTATTTTTTAGGAGAGAGTGAGTACACACGCCTACACACTAGCAGGGCAGGGACAGCTGACAGTGCTGTCAGCACAGAGCCTGATGTGGGGTTTGCACAAACTGTGAGATCATGACTTCAGCCAAAATCAAGAGTTGGATACTTAACTGACTGAGCCCCCCCTAATAAGACTGATTTAGGTTTTCACAGATAAAATACAATACATTTAAGTAACCAACTAATCCTGCAAAATACATTTTGGAGTCAACAATAAACATTCTCTTGAAAATATGAAATTATTTTGTAAACATCCTTAAAATGTAAAGCATCCTCAAAAACATTTCACAGATATTTACATATCAGCAAACATTCTCCATTTCATATAAAAATTAGTACCTGAGAAATTTGCCACATGAGTACATTCATCCATGACTCCTTTCATGAATATTAAAGATTCTTTCTGAAGATTGTTTCTTCTTTGTTCTTTACTGAGTAAGTGATATGACTGAGGACCGCAACTTGCATAACTGCTTTTATTGGTTGTAAGTGTTTGATTGAAGCACTCCATCTTAGAGGTATCTTGCAACAAGAGTCTTTCTGATGTGGCACTGATAGATGTTTTACTAGATTTATGGTAGTCATTAGGTTTTGGGGATACAACCCGGTCTGTCATATCTAAATTTAAAGTTCTAGACACCAGATTAAGGTTAGTTAGCTTGTCTGCACGAATAGGGAACTGTTTCACAAACTCTTGTCCCATTTTGAAAGAATCTGTCTGAATATACAAAAGAAAACATCATTTAGTATAAAATACATTTAACAACCTTGTTAAAACAAAAAACGAATGTCCATCAACGAATAAATGAATTAAACAAAATGTAGTGCAGACAAACAATGGATTATCATTTAGTCTTAAAAGGGAACACAATTCTGATACATACTACAACATGGATGAACTCTGAAAACATACCAAATGAATAAGCCAGATACAAAGAACAAATACTGTATGATTTTAAGTTTTATGAAGTAGTCAAATTTATAGAGACAGAAAGTAGAGTGGGGATTGCCAGAAGCAGGAAGGAGAGGGGAATGAAGAGTTACTGTTTAATGGGTACAGAGTTTCAGTTTAGTAAAATGAAAAAGTTCTGGAGATGGTTGGTGGTGACGGACAGAGGTGATGGCTGCACAACAATGTGAACGCATTTATTAATCCCATTGAACTGTACACCTAAAAATGGTTGAAATAGTAAATTTTATATTGCATGTATTTGAATACAACTTAAAAAGTAACAAAGAAAAAAGAGATGTCAGAATTTATCTGAGAACTAAGATAAATGACATACTATATTGCTTAATGTTTCCTATTAAACAGTAAAGGGTATCATTTAGTCTGCATCATGTTTTTATTGCCAAAGTTTTAAAATTCATGATCTGCCTTAATCTTAGAACTTCCAAAAGCCTAATGAGTGTATCCTGGCAGTAATACATCAGCTACCTCACATCCCTTTCTTAGGCTTAACTAAGAATTAAAAATTATCAAGGAAAAAATATTGCCTATTAAAATCTCAAAAGGATGTACTAAGTTTAAGGACTTGTAAGTACAATGTAATTTAAGTAAAAATAAACTTTGTTAAATACTAAAGGGAAAGTCAAAGGGGAAAAAATGACAGCCTGGGAAAATATATTTGCAACACCAATGACAAAGAGCTCATTGCTCTTTGAAAAAGTGAGCAAAGGATATGCACATAAAGGTCACAGAAAATGAAACATAAACTTATAAACATATTCAATTTCACTTATAATTAAGTTAAATAAAAACAATATAAACTTTCACCATCAGGTTGACGAAAAAAAATGAAACCCGTCAATTTGCTAACACACTGAATTTGTGAAATTATGGGAAAACGGAAACACATTTCCTGCTGGTAGTATAACTGAAGACATGTTACAAATGGAACAATATATCTAGGAATCTAACCACATTACAAATGGAACAATATTTCTAGGAATTTACACTTGTGAAATTTATTCATGGCAGCAGTGTTTGTTACTAGTGAAAAATGAGAAACAACATAAATACCCATCAATGGGCCACTAGTTAATAAATCATGTTTTGGCCATCCATATAATCTTATGCAGCAGTAAAAAAGAAAAAGGAAACATTTGGGTATAGTCCATAAAAAAAGGTACCAAAAAAGATCATATTTCTATTTGTTTGAAAAATTCCTTGAAACATTAATAAATAGTGAGTTATTTGTTGAAGGAGATAGGACCTAGACAAATTGGGAGTAGGGGTAGGAATTGTTTCATTATATGCCTTTTTATACTTTTTGATGCTTTAACTATATGACCTATATTTTTAAAATATGTATTTAAAAATTTAAGAATAAAAAATTGATTAAAGGCAGGAAAAAAAAATTCAACAATTTTATTAACATAAACAAGTCATGAAAGTCATCTGGACTAAAGAAATACAAAAGAGAAAGAGACTTAGAAACATTTGAGAGATGTAAGATCAAGCACCCTACAATTACTCAGAGTGGTACACCAACAACTTTAACTGCTTTTGATTGGAAAAACAGTTTTTTTTTTTTTTATATGTTTTATTTATTTCTAGGAGAGAGAGAGAGACAGCATGAACAGGGGAGGGTCAGAGAGAGGGAGTCACAGACTGAAACAGGCTCCAGGCTCTGAGCTGGCAGTCAGCACAGAGCCCGAAGCGGGGCTCGAACCAACGAACCGCGAGATCATGACCTAAGCAAAAGTCGGACGCTTAACCGACTAAGCCACCCAGGCGCCCCTGGAAAAACAGTTTTTATAACAAAAAATAAGGAAGCCATCTTGATATTCCCTAAATATTCACTGCTGTGAACAAGTTCTGAGACAAAAAGACTTGTATACAACCACCGAAAGTCAGAGACAAAGTGCTGGGTGAGACTACACTGCCATTTCAGACAACCAAAATTTTTGACTCTCCCTTTAGAAAGGTGCATATTGAGTTTTATCATAAGCTCTCAAATATAGGCATTTTAAAATTATACTATGGGGAAACATAAGAAACTAGCAGGTAGAGGTATTTTGTTACAAAGTTCTTAGACAAGTAAATAACTACACTTTGAGGTTATGCAAGATAGATTACAAGAGTGAGATTTATAGTGATGTAATCATAAATAAAAAGTCCTAATTGATAATAGAGATATTTTTTCTTTCTGAGATGTCTTGAGATCCTCAGTAACTTCCAAACTGAATGTATAAAGTTTAAAAATTAATACAAAGAAAAAATCATGAAAGGAACTGGTCACCTTCGGAGACTAAGAGGGAACAAATTCATTATCTTGAAAACAGGTAAATTAAGGGAAAGAATCAAGCATCTATCCTGTCTTTCATATATGAGTTGAGCCAAATAATAAGTAACCAAAAAATAGATAAATGCCTTTTTATAGAAGCATCAAACTAATAAATAAAAAGAAATGACAGATTTAGAATATCAGCACTTTGCAGTCCTCCACTAATTAATCGACATAGGCATTAAACATCAGTGGAGGCTTATACCACAAAACAGAGACAACTAGACATTAGGCGCTTCTGACTCCTACCAAAGAAATAAAAACTGAGTTTAATCAAGCCTCTAGACCCAGCTGTCAATTTTCAGGCAATATAGTGTATAAGTGAACATGCTAAACTATACCATGAGAATGCAATAAAACATATCTAGATGGTGAGAAACTCTAAAGGTAAATAGCCTAAATTCTTCAACAGATCAATTATAAGGAAAAGGAAACGAATGGAAGGGAACTTACAGATTAAAAGACACTGAAAAGCACATCAAATAAAAGAACTGTAGTGTCTAAGGATACATATCTGGACAATAAAATTATTTTAAAGACAGAAGGAAGTAATTACTATAAAAATCGTTAGCAGTGCTGGGAGAAGAGTTTTTTAATTAGGACACATGGAAGTGGTTCTGGATCGGATGGTCAATTTCTATTCTTGACCTATTACAAATAGGTTTGCCTTTGAACAAATGTTGTAAGCCATACTTTTGCTTTGCATGATTTTTTATATCTATATTTTCTTTTATTTGCTTATTTTTTAAATATTTATTTTGAGAGAGAGAGAGAGCAAGAGGGGGAGGGGAAGAGAGAGAGGGAGGGACAGAGAGAGTCCCAAGCTGATGTGGGGCTCAATCTCACAACTGTGAGATCATGACCTGAGCCGAAATCAAGAGTCAGAGGCTTAACTGACTGAGCCACCCAGGTGCCCTTATTTATATATATATTTTTAAATGAAGAATCTTAAAAACTAAAAAATAGTATTGACTTTTAACAAATTTACAATTCTTTTTTAAAAATTTAAATCATGGAAACACAATTATCTTTTGCCCCCCTTCCAATGTTATGCAGAAATTAAAAATACTTACTCCACAATATTCAAGCATGTGAATAATTTCTTCTTCATAAACTGTCTGTGTATAATACTGCTTTTCCAGCTCCCTCCAATTAATCGATTTACTTAGCACACCCTGAAATAACAAACTAAATTAAGATCAAATTACACCATCAAGCATTTTGTCCAATAATTTTATTATTAATGTGCAGGAAAGACTAAACAGAGAAGGCTTGAGATTTCCTATCTTTAGAAAGCCCCGCTTGAGATGTTGGCCCTTGATTAGAGTCTGGAAACTTGACTAATAAACAGTTCTTTGCCCCAATATATATCTTTATAAATGATAAAGTGGGTCATTGTGCCTAAACAATGTAGTTTCTGCTGAATATGCACTTTCCATCTGGAGTTTTGGTACACATGATGCTGCGACTGCCTAAATGACTGACCCCTGACAAAAACCCTGGATTCCCAGGCTCAAACAACCTTCACCAATGGACATTTCGTACATATTGTCGTAATGCATTGCTAGAGGAATTAAACACATCCTGTGAGATTCCAATGGAAGATTGTGCCTGATTTCCTCTGGACTTTGCCCCATGTGCCTTTTCCCTGTGTTAATTCTGTATTGTATCCTTTTGATGTAATAAGTTTTAGTCGTGAGTAAGACTATGTGTTATATATCCTGTGATTCCTTCGAGAGAATCACCAAACCAATCCCACCAAACCAATTCATTATATACATAGCAATCTAAGTACTAATTGCAATTAAATTACCGTAGTGAAGACTCCAGATGCTGTGGACCAAGACAGACATGGGATCAATGGCATGGGCTTAGGCCAGTTGGATACTGCTAAGGAAGCCATCTGAAATATGTTTAACAGTCAGTTAGAGAGCTTTTGTTTAAATTTCTATTCATTAAAATGAAAACTATTTACTAGTAAGAAGTAAGAAGTAGTCTGGGTAGTAATTGGTGAGATAAACATGAACACAAAATCTCTGAATACTTGGGGTGCCTGGCTGGCTCAATCAGTAGAGCATGCGACTCTTGATCTCAGGGTTGTAAGTTTGAGCTCCACATTGGGGATAGAGATTATGTAAAAATAAAATCTTAAAAAGTCTCTAAATACTCATGAGAATGTCCAGCAACCTTCTGAAACTCCCCAAGTCATAAATTCAACAACAACATAACTTCTCCCTTAAAAGTAATAAAGTACATTGGAAAATTTTAAGTAATCTCAAGACCCTCCACAAAGAACTATTTTCTACTGGGTAAATACAGAGCAAACATGCTGATATGTAGATGCTAGGCAGCAGGCTGATCACACTCCTTACCTGAGTGACTTGCTCAGTGACAGCAAAATCACAGCTATAAAATCTCTGACCTTTGAGGCTAACTGAAAAAAAAGCTGTTGAACTACAAAGCAAATTATATAACTGATACAAAGCAATGTGTATAGTTAGAGAAGGGAAAGGTTATTTTTCGGCTAGGGGAATCAGAGAAGGCTTCATAAAATGGCTGTCTTTTAGGGGAATGAAAGATGGGGTCTTGTCTTCCATATAAAGAACACAACATTGATCAAAGGCAAGATGGTGAAAAAGTACAAAGTCTTCTAGGAAAACTGCCAATATACCTTACTTTGGCTGGTCAATAGGGCATATGCGGTGAATGGGGTGAGAGAGATAGGTAGGCTGGAAAGACTGAAGAGCATCAGATTAGAGGTCCCTTTTGCTCTGTATATAATGGGAAATTAATAAAGAGGCCTGAGCAAAGAAGTGACATTATCAAAAAAGCTAAAATGATAGCAGTTTATAGGATTGATTAGAAAGGGTGAGATCTGAGGTAGGAAACCAACCAGTATAGGCAGTAGTTCAGGTGAAAGTTCCAAGATCCCAATCTAGGTCATAAAAATAGAAAAGCTACTAGGTAGGGAAAAGATATAATTTTCCACTTTCAATTCCACTGGTAATTTTTTTGAGTTTTAAGTCAGTTTTTAAACTTAATGTTATAATTCAAATGACTTACAGAAAACTATATATATTTTGTTGTTTTTTTTTAATGTATGGAGTAACTAATATGTTTAGGAAATAATTAGAGCATATCAATAGCCCTTACTGAACCTACTCCTTCATGGAGAAAAATTGCTAAACAAGTATCCCAGTGCAGTGAAATAAGTACTAATAAGAGATGAAGTACAGTCTGGGGTTAGGCTGGTAGTCAGGAAGAGATTCTCATTATCATAGGAAGTAAGCTCTAGACTGGAACCAGAAGGGCAAACTATTATTTGGTTAGGTGAAAAGGCATGAGAAGGTACTAGGAGAATGCTAGCACCCATCATATCTAGAGCCAAGTGCAACAGCAAGCCTTTGGCAGGTGTAAGCAGGAGAGCAGAGATGAGATTGAGGAAAATCACTCTAGTTATGGTGTGGAGAGAAACTATTAAGAAGCTTAATGAGAGAAAAGACTAGAGACAGAGAAACCAATTAGGAGGCTGTTTCAGTATATTCTAGAAGACAAAGGTATAATAGGTACCTCTTATCACTGGGGATAGTAATAAGAGATAAATGGAAAGTATTTTCTACATTTGCTATCTTTGCCAATTTAACAGCAAAGTAAGTCACTTATATTTGAGATGTGAAAAGTTAAGTTTTATAAAAATCACATTTCAATAAATTATTAAATTAAATCCAATACCTGAGCTATGACTGTGAAGTACAATCAATGTCTACATAAATCATACCAAATAAAGTCATTACTTTATAATGGGAAAAGTTTGAAACCTTTTTCTGCTTTTGCCAAGACTAAAATTAATTCTACACCTAAAGTGAATATTTAAAATCACTCCATTCTCTAGATCTTACGAACATAATCACAATTAAGTATCAGTTGAAATTAAAAGGCTTACATGTCCTCCCATGGATATTCCGGTCATTCCTAGAGGTCCATAACCCTCTCTCTCTAGCCAGTGCAAGAGAGCTGCAGATTCTAAAACAAGAGCTCCTCCCATCACAAAAAGGTCAGACACGTTTTTGAGGCTGGACCTTCTAGCCTCACAAGACAAAAGAGAAAATTATTTATGTATTTACATTTTAACATATGCAAAATTACAACAGGCAGCCAGACTTCATGTTTTTCTTTTAAAGGACCAGATAGCTAAGTAAAACAATGGAACAAATTGATAGAATTAAGAGTGCTAACATTATTCTACATATTAATCAGCTAAAACTTACTTTAAAGTTATATCTGCTCCTTATTGAATCTTTGTTGAAATTCAATTAACTATTTTGAAGCCCAGGAAATATTTTATTTGATAGCACTTAAAAAAAAAAAAAGCATAAAAATTTTTAAAAAGCAATGTAAAAGAATTTAACCTAATATTAGGCTCATGCATTACTAAAATCTTAAATATGTTGCTTTTTTTCACAAAATACACAATTTATGAATATAATCAACTGGAAACTTTTTTTTGATTTTTTAAATAATAGTATAATTAACATACAATGTTACATCAGCTTCAGCTGTATAACATGGTGATTTGACAATTTTATACATTACTCAATGCTCACCATGGTAACTATAATCACCATATGTCACTATATAAATATTATTAAAATATTGACTATACTCCCTATGCTATACTTTTCATCTCTATGACTTATTTATTTTATAATTAAAAGTTGGTTGAAAAAGTAATTTTTCATAAAAATACCTAATTTTTTACTAACTTAAATGAGGGTGGCTGGGGGGCTAAGTCAGTTGTGTGTCACTCTTGATTTTGGCTCAGGTCATGGTCCCGGGGTGGTAGGATCCACTCTAAGCGTGGAGCCTGCTTGGGACTCTCTCTCTCACCCTCTCTTCCCCGCTCTTTCCCTCTCAAATAAAAACAAAACAAGCCAATTCAACTAGAATTTTCTGTCTTTAGAAATTAATTTTACATGTAAGTACATTTCCTTATAAGAAGTACTTAAAACTTTTTAGATTCCCAACTATTCTTATACAAGCATACTTCGTTTTATTGCACTTTGGAGATATTGCATTTCTTACAAATTGAAGGTTTATGGGGTGCCTGGGTAGCTCAGTCAGTTAAGCATCCGACTCTTGTTTTAGGCTCAGGTCATGATCTCATAGTTCATGAAACTGAGCCCTGTGTAGGGCTTGGCACTGTCAGTTCAAAGCCTGCTTGAGATTCTCTCTCCATCTCTCTCTGCTCCTACCCTGCTTGTACACATGTGTGTACATGCACTCCCTCTCAAAAATACATAAATAAACATTAAAAAAAACAAATTGAAGGTTTATGGCAACTCTGTATCAATTAAATCTATTGGTGCTATTTTTCCAAAAGCATTTGATAACTTCATGTCTCTGTCACAATTTAGTATTGCTCACAATATTTAGAAACCTTTTCATTATATTTGTTATGATGATCTGTGATGTTACTGTTGTAATTGTTTTGGGGCACCATGGAACTACACGCATCTAAGATGGCAAACTTAATGGATAAATGCCATGTGCGTTCTAACAGCTCCACTGACCAGCTGTTCTCTCCCTCTCTTCCACCTTCCTGTTCCCTAAGATATAAAAATCTTGAAAGTAGGCCAGTTGATAACCCTACAATGGCCTCAGTGTTTAAGTGAAAAGAGGAATCACACATCTCTCACTTTAAGTCAAAAGCTAGAAATGATCAAGCTTAGCGAGGAAAGGATGTCAAAAGGAGAGAGAGAACAAAAGCTAGGCCTCTTGCAGCAAACAGTTGTGAATGCAAAGAAAAAGTTCTTGAAGGAAATCAAAAGTGCTACTCCAGTGAACACACAATTTAGAAAGCAAAATAGTTTTCTTGCAAACATGGAAAAGACAGATCTGGATAGAAAATCAAACCAGCCACAACACTGACTTAAGCCAACGCCTATTCCAGGGAAAGGCCCTACTTCTTTTTAATTCTATGAAGGCTGAGAGAGGTGAAGAAGCTGCAGAAGAACAGTATGAAGTTGAAAGAAGTTGGTTCATGATGTTTAAGGAGGGAGGCCATCTCCGTAACATAAAAGTGCAGGAAGGTAAAGCAGCAACTTGCTGATATGGAAGCTACAGTAAGTTATCCAGAAGATCTACTGACGATAACTAACAAAGGCAGCTGCACAAAACAACAGATTTTCAATGTTGAAAAACAGCACTCTGTTGGAAGAAGATGCCATCTAGGACTTTCATAATTAGAGAGGAGATGTCAATGGCTAGCTTGAAAGGAGGGGCTGACTCTCTTGTTAGGGGCTAATGCAGCTGGTGAAATATTTCCAAGGTATGCCTGTATAGTGATAAAAAAGAATACTATGTTATTATTGAAGTGTCCAAGTTAGAATCTGTTTTCAAAATTTAGTTCATATAAAGACATAAATGATTGGCTACTTGATGAAACCTTGTCAAGGTATACAAAATTCTCTTTATCAATGGTTAATTGTATGTCTACATGGAGTAATTATGCACAATGAACTAGCTGCTGTAGGAATGCCAAGTTGTGAATAAGATTTCTGGCCCCCAAAGAGCTTATGTCCACTGTCCTACCACACCTTCTCAGAGCTCTAAGTCCATAAGACAGAATTTCTCTTTATGGAAATTATGCTATCCTCTGTCAAAATAGATCATACATGTGCTTCCTCATAAAAAAGCCCATGTATCCTTATATTTGTTTCTTATTCTCATTCCATTTTCTATTTATGGTCACATAATTCACCTGATTATTTATTTTGGCTTGGTATGGAGGTTTGAATTATCAAACTCACCTTAGTTTGCTCTTTTAATAGAAGTTACTGTGTGGGGTTCTGGGACAATGGTTATTTACTTGTTAACAGTGGGCCCAGTCTCAAAATGTTTAAACACTTTTGATGAAAACAGGCATAAGATGGCTTTTAAAAAGAGAGAGAAAAATAAATTTGCTATTTAACTTGCAAGCCATCTCTTACAATGAATCATTTGAGAAAAATCAAACATACTGCTGCATTATTATATTTCTTAGGTATAAGATACATGATAGAATATTTTATAGACATGATTCTCACAACAATTCTGTGTGGAAGAAATTATATTCTCACCTTATAAATAAGGTAATAGATACTTAGACCAAGGTCATACAATTATTAAATGACAAATTACAATTGTAACGTACGTCTCTATGACTACAAAGTCAATGTCTTTCTGTTAAATCCATGCTGCCTCTAACTATAACTCAATAAGCACTTTTGGCTTTTAACCACGAACAGAACAGAGCAAAAAGGACACACCTAGTTCTGAATTCAGAGCTTGGTTCCAGGGTAAGAATTCTTGAACTATTCAGCCTGGACATTAATTTTTCACATTTCACAAATTTATTCTAAACTATCCTTCATAGGATATAAGTTTGCTTCCAACCCACCCTGCTTTCATCTATACTTTTTTCATGTCATGACCACATAGAACTTGTGACTTCTAAATCTAACTCTCCAGGACTTTCCAACTCCCTACTTAACTTCTCCACCTGCAGTTTTATCAGACATCAGAAATTCAACACGTGCAAGTCAGAACTTTTGGTTTCTTACCAACAATATCCAATTTTATAAATGAGGCTTATCATTTCAACTTCTAATTACCCAAGAGAGCTTCTTTCCATCTGCACTGCCACTGCCTTAACGTCCCCTTTTTTTTCTCCTGCATTATTCTAATAGCTTCCTATTTGATTTTCCTGCTGCTACTCTAGCTCCAGTAAGCCAAAATAAGCCTTTAAAAACACAAACCAGATCATTCCTCTGCTTAAAGTCCTCCAAAGGTTTCCTACTACACTTACAGTAAAATTTAAAATACATGGCTGTTCATAAATCTGGCCCTTGTCTATGTTTCTGACCTTGTGTTATACTACTCTCCCATGCTTATGGGAGGCTTTTCATTTTTCCTTCTCTGAGGCTGATCTTCCTCCAGGTTTTCACCTTGGTGTCTCCTTCTCACTATATCATGTCTTCATATCTAATACTGCTACAACCTTGTACCTGCCCTTTGTTATTCTTTTTTTTTTTAATGTTTTATTTATTTCTAGGAGAGAGAGAGAGAGAGAGAGAGACAGCATGAGCAGGGGAGGGTCAGAGAGAGAGAGGGAGTCACAGACTGAAACAGGCTCCAGGCTCTGAGCTGGCAGTCAGCACAGAGCCCGACGCGTGGCTCGAACCCACGAACTGCGAGATCATGACCTAAGTGAAAGTCGGACGCTTAACAGACTAAGCCACCCAGGCACCCCGTGCCCTTTATTATTCTTTACTTGGTTGCCCTGCTTTATTGGTTGCACTGATAAATATCCAAAATTATCTTATTTATTATTATCTATCTCCCATCCTAGAATATAAGCTGACAGTAAGGATCTTGTCTATTTTTTTGCTATCTTCCCAGTGTCTTGAATCAAATGTTTACTGAATGAATCAAAACCAAACATGATATAGGTTATGGAAATGCAAAAAAATTGCCTTCAAAGTTCATCATTTTAAAAAACCAAAAAGATTATTTTCAGATTACTGATACTATACATTGCAAAAATAAAAAGAATGGTATTAATTTCACGAAGTGTACTTTAAGAAGGAAAATGTTTTAACATTTCTTTAGTTACAGTTTTACAAATAAAATATATCTTCCATCAGCCCATTAAAAACATTTTTTTAAGTTTTTTTATTTATTTTGAGAGAGAGAGAGAGAGAGAGAGAGAGAGAGCATGAGTGGGGAAGGGGCAGAGAGAAAGGGAGAGGGAATCCGCAGCAGACTCTGCACCACCACCATGGAACCCAAGAGGGGGCTTGAACCCACAAACCATGAGATCATGACCTAACATCAAATCAAAAGTAGGATGCTTAACCAACTGAGCCACCCAGGTGTCCCTAAAATTTCTTATTCATCTCTTTATCAAACACTTTAAGTGCAAAAAGCTTAAAATATAAATTTAAGTCAACATGCCTACTACAGTTTTATAGCAGAATTTTTTCCCCAAATAACATTTGCATGTTAAACTTAGAAATGATTAACCAAAGACTAACAAAAATTTTAATACACTGAAAATTTGGCATAAAGACTACAAAAATGAAGGTGGGGTATACTTACATTTGGTCCTTGGGTTTCCTGCAGCCATTTAAGAATGTGGGTCAAAGAGAAAGTTTTAAAATAATTAAATACAGTTTGTGTCCCAAAACACATTAACTTAAGAAAATAGTTAATTTGAACATAATTTAATGCTGAAATAGCTATTTTCTAGTTATCTCAAATAACTATTTTCTAGTTAACTCCTCTAGTTAAGGAGCTCTCAGGTTTTTTCCAACATGATTTTTTTTTTTTAAAACAGCTTTATTGATATTGCATACCATATAATTCACCCATTTTAAGTGTACAGTTTAATGTGGTCAGTATATCCACAGGGCTGTGCAATCTTCAACTTAATTTTAAAATGAAGGGTTTTTTTCATTTATATGTTGATTATAGAAAATCTAGAAAATATAGAAAAACATATTAGAAGAAAAACTACTTCATCTACAGACAACCATATTAATATTTTTGAGTAGGTCCAGTATTTTTCCTTACACACAGTTTTTAATGGATTTTCTGTTTTTAGGTTTTCTGCATATCTATGTCCTACCACAGAGTTTTGTATCCTATTTTTGCATTATATTTTTCATACATGATTGTAAACTTTTTAACAATAACTAACCATTAAAATTTACTGGATGTCATTTACTAGGCACTATTCTAGACAGTATTAACTAGTTAATACTCTGAATAACCTAAGAGATTATTCCCATTTACCAATGAAAAATCTGAGGTACTAAAAGATTAAGTAACAGGTCCAAGGTCATACAGGGAGTAAATGGTAGAGCAATAAACATAACCAATTGCATAATATTCTAATATTATGAACCACAAATTACCCAACCATTTTTCTATTGTTAGACATTTAAGCTATTTCTAATGCTTTAATATTATAAATAAAATTATATAAATCTCTTTTTTTCTATAACTTTCTCTTTTCTTAGTATTTTATCCTTAAAATAAACTTCCAAGAATCAAAATCACTATCAAGGGATGGTAAGATTTATTAAGGCCCCTGATACATATGGTAGAAATGCTTTCTCCAAGGATTAAACTGGTTTTCACAGCCATTAGGAGTAAGAGTGCCTATTTTTTTTACGATAGCCTCACAAGTATTGGGTTTTATTTTTTTAAATCTTTGGTAATGTTTAACTTTACATTTCTCTTATTACCAGCAACATTGAACATTACTTTCTTAAAAAAAAATTTTTTTTAGCAGTTTATTTTTGAGAGAGAAAGAGAGAGAGAATGTGTGAATGGGGCAGGGACAGAGAGAGAGGGAAGAGAGAATCCCAAGCAGGCTCTGCACTGTCAGCACAGAGCCTGATGTGGGGCTCGAACTCACAGACCGTGAGATCATGACCTGAGCTGAAACCAAGAGTCGGATGCTTAACCGACTGAGCCACCCAGGTGCCCCGAACATTTCTTTATATCTGTGCATCAGTTTCGTTTCTTCTTCTGGGAATAGTCTGACGTCATCTTGAAAGTCAAGTTAAGAACTGTTCTAAACCTCAACTGATGACTTAAATGTAAATGCATTTAAAACCTATGAAGGTTTCCTTAATAGCAAGCATTTGACATAATAATATTAAAATCCAGCATAAGTTTTACAAGAAAAAGTACAATTTATCTTCATTATACAGTGGAAGCACAATCCTTAACATAGGTTGTTTAAAGGCATGAAACAATTTTTTACTTCTTTTCATTTTTGCTTCTTAAATATTTTCTGAACTGACAACTAAATTTAACTGGTTTAGAAAAGCTGGTTACTATCTATCATTCCTTTGATGAATAAATCTATAAATAAGAGAAAAGATTTCTAGGTATCACAAAAGGATATAATATGGGTTTTCTAGCAACAACGAAGCCATTCGGGCTTCCTTAATCATAGGACGAGCCATTAGTGTTCGTCGTCTCCAGTAATGCTAAGGACAGAAAAGATGGCATACTTAAAGAATATATAATCACATTTGTGTTCCAAACAGTATGTTAACAACTTAGGGAGTAAGGCATTATAACAAAAGTCTTACATGATCTCCTGTGCCAGCAAGATGAATGCATACAGGTTTATATTTGCTGTTCCACTCCTTAGGAACAATAAGTTGGAACCTATTTAAAATAAAACATGTAAGTAGAATTCTCTTTAGAAGGTTTTCAATACAAACTTTCAGTCTGTAAAAGTTTCATAATTAAATTATTTGGGAGAAGAGATCATTCCGAATTTTGACATTCAAATTATGATTAATTCATGTTTGCATAAAGGCAAATAAGATATTATAAATTTGCTTTGTGTTAGGATATTAAAATATTCAGTACTATAAACACAGAATTCATTGTAATCATTTTTACCTTATTCAATATCATAACTTTATATATCATAATGAAATTTTCTTATTTTGTAGAGACATCAATACATATGAGCAAGTCTTAGAAAAAACAATTCTTTACATAACTCTGCTTTTTCTCCTTGCAGGAATAATGCTTGGTTGTACAAGCTGTTGATGTATCAGTAAAATACTTTGTGTTATCTCTTTTGTTTTTCAACTTGGAGAAAAAGCAATCCACACCAAATGCCAGAAAAAAACATAGTTTTCCCTATTTGATGTCTTCTCATTGCAGTAATTTGCTTTTCACTTAATGTCTTTTCCCTGTAGGACTTTTTCTTTAATTGTAGTAAAATATATGTAACATAAAATTTAACATTTTAACTATATTTATTGTACAGTTCAACAGCATTAAGTACATTTATATTGTTGGGGTGATGCCTAGATGGCTCAGTTAGTTAAGCCTCCTCTTTTTGGTTTTGGCTGAGGTCATGATCTCATGGCTCATGGATTCGAGCCCCGCATCAGGCTCTGCACTGTGAGCATGGAGCCTGCTTGGGATTCTCTCTATCCCTCTTTCTCTGCCCCTACCCTGCTCACTCTCTCAAAATTAATAAACTTAAAAAAATGTTTTAAAAAGTATATTTACAGTGTTGTGCAACAATCACCACCATTCATCTTCATTCTTTTTTTTAACTTTTTAAAAAAATATTTATTGATTTTTGAGACAGAGAGAGACATAGCATGAATGGGGGAGGGACAGAGAGAGAGGGAGACACAGAATCCAAAGGAGGCTCCAGGCTCTGAGCTGTCAGCACAGAGCCCAATGTGGAACTGGAACTCACAGACTGTGTGTGAGATCATTACCTAAGCCAAAGTCGGAGGCTCAACCAACTGAGCCACCCAGACGTCCCACCACCATTCATCTTCAGAACTTTATCTTCCTAAACTGGTTTACTTGTTTTTTTTAATTTCCTTAGCAGTTGATATTTTAGAATTATTATCATAGTATAATACTACACTTTGTCAACTCAAGGTTTGACCTTAGGTAGCTGCATTCTCAGACAACATAAATCTCAATTCTGAGCTTATTTTTTGGGCAGGGGACAATATCACTAGTTATCTATTATCAATAAATGGGTGAATAGAGAACATACGCAAGTACATTTAGGAGGATTCAGTGGTTATTTCTGTTTTGTCCTCATGGGAACTAACTCTTATTTTAATCTCATAATCAAAACTGCCAATGTTAACAATTCAATGCTTCATTGTGCATTCTCAGAACTGTCCTGCTTATTGATATTTTGATGATTTGTGGTAAATAATAACATTTTAAAATGTTTTCTGTGGAATATTGGACATCTCTGCTATTATTTTTTTCCTTCTGTCCAATAGCATTGTATGTAGAGACTTCATTATTGAAGAATATTAAATTAATAGGAATCTTGGGCATCTGGGTGGCTCAGTCAGTTAAGCATCCAACTTCAACTCAGGTCATGATCTCACGGTTTGTGGGTTCGAGACCCACGTCGGGCTCTGTGCTGACAGCCAGCTCAGAGCCTGGAACCTGTTTTCAGATTCTGTGTCTCCCTCTCTCTCTGACCCTTCCCTGCTCATGCTGTCTCTATCTCTCTCTCAGAAATAAATAAAACATTAAAAAATGTTTTAAATAAATTAATAGGAATCTTTTATTACAGTATTAACTGACCACTCATCTAATAGAGGCCCATTAATTAGTTTGTCTGCTCATATTACAGCATCTTCTCATGGAATATTTTCCAGTGCCCTGTGATGAATGAGTAGAGTGCATGTGAGCAACTCTGCTACAGCTGATTGGGCCTCAGGTAGGACAAATTAGGGCAATAAGATTTGTTCTTTTAGTAGTCTGGAATTAGGACAGACTCTAGATTATGTTGAGCTTTGGGCACAGAGGCTCTGTGGAGCTGTGGTAGCTATTTTTTGTCAGCTGCATGAGAAGCAGAGAAAGATAAACTACCCACAGAGAAATGGCATGGGTGATAAAGCACAGATAAGAGACCAGGAAGCACGCAGGAGTTAGGGGAAGTATCTATATAGATCTTAATGGCTTCTCATTTTCAGCTTCCAAAATCTCTTTTTTAAATATTGAGATAATTGACATATATTATTAGTTTCAGGTATATAATTTAATGATTTGATATATGTATGTATTGTGAAATGATCATTACAATAAGTTTAGTTAACATCCATTACCACATGTAACTACAAAATCCTCTTTTTCTTGTGATGAGAACTTTTAAGATTTACTCTCTTAGCAATTTCCAAATATACAATACAGTATTAACTATAGCCACCATGCTGTATATTATATCCTCAAGACTTCTTTTATAACAGAAAGTTTGTACCTTTTGACCGCTTTCACCCAATTCGCCCAGCCCCCACCCCCAACTCTGACACCTACTAATCTGTTCTTTGTATCTCTGAGTTCAAAGCTGTTGTTGTCATTGTCTTAGATTCCATATATAAGTGAGATCATATGGTATCTGCCTTTGACTTATTTCACTTAGCATAATGTTCTCAAGATCCATGTAGTTGCAAATGGGAGAATTTCCTTTTTTGTTGTTGATTATTTAATTTACTTTGAGAGAGAATCCCAAGCAGGCTCTACAGTGTCAGTGCAGAGCCCGGCATGGGACTCAATCCCACCAACCACAAGACCATGACCTGAGCCAAGCCCATGACCTGAGACACACAACCACTCAACCAGGTGCCCCTGGAGAATTTCCTTCTTTTTTATGTCTGAATAATAGAGCACTCTCTTTATATGCACCACTTCCCTATCCTTTCATCCACTGAGGGACATTTGGGTTGTTTTCCATGTTTTGGCTATTGTAAATAATGCTGCAATGAACACAGGCATGCAGATATTTTCTCAAATCAATGTTCTTGTTTCTTTCAAATATATACCCAGAAGTGGAATTGCTGGATCATATGGTAGTTCTGTTTTTAATTTTTTTTAATGTTTATTTGTTTCTTTGAGAGAGAGACAGAGTGCAAGCCAGGGAGGGGCAGAGAGAGAGGGAGACACAGAATCCAAAGTAGGTTCCAGGCTCTGAGCTGTCAGCATAGATCCCAATGTGGGGCTCGAACTCATGAATTGTGAGATTATGACCTGAGCCAATGTCGGATGCTCAATTGACTGAGCCACTCAGGTGCCCTTCTCTGTGTATTTTAAAAGAATGTGTATTCAGATGCTGTTGGATACAATATTTTCTGAGTATCTAGGTTACGTCAACTTGATCTAATGGGTAGTTCGAGTCCAATGTTTTCTTACTGATTTTCTGTCTGAATTATTTATCCATTGTTGCAAATCAGGCATTAAAGATCCCTACTATTATTCTATTGCTGTCTTCAAATTTGTTAATTTTTTAATTATATATTTAGCTCCTATATTGGGTTTATAAATATATACAAATGTTACATCCTATTGTTAGACTGATCCCTTTATCATTATATAATGACCTTCCTTGCCCCTTATCCAATATTTTAAAAAATTTTTGTTTAATGTTTGTTTATTCTTGAGAGAGAGAGAGAGAGAAAGAGAGAATAAATAGGGGAGGGAAAAAGGGAGAGAGGGAGAGGGAGAGAGGGAGAGAGAGAGAATCTGAAGCAGACTCTAGGCTCTGAGCTGTCAGCACAGAGCTGGATGTGAACCCTCGAGCCATAAGATCATGACCTGAGCCGAAGTCGGACGCTTAACCAATTGAGCCACCCAGGCGCCCCGCCAATACTTGTTTTTAATGTTTATCTATTTTTGAGAAAGAGGGAGGGAGGAGCAAAGAGAGGGGGGTACAGAGGATCTAAAGCAGGCTCTGTGCTAACAGTAGACAGCTCCATGCAAGGTTTGAACTAATGAACCATGAGATCATGACCTGAACCAGAGTCA